AATGGTGCAGGGTCTCCTGCTTGGGTGGGTGGGTGGGGTTGGACTGGATGACCTATAAAATCTCTTCCAACTCTGTTAATCTGTAATTCATCTCTGTTCCACCCACCTCCACCCCCGGGCCATTCCCACATCATCCCCATGGACGAGCCAGCAGGAGATGGTAGATGACTATTACTGACTGTGGGGAACTACAACCTCATGGGATTCACGTAATAATGGCAACTGGAACTGTCGTCACTGCCACTGTAAGTCAGCATAGTCATGTGATGCCACACTTTATGACTGTGTTGCTTAGCGATGGAATCTCGGTCCCAATTACTGTTGTAAACCAAGGACTACCTCCCTACCACCACCACCTCCATTCAAAAATTGTGGAATAATAACTCCTCGTGCCAAATGGACACATTTTTTTTGAAAAAAACAAAACCTCTGGGAGTTGAAGTCCACCCATCTTAAAGCTGCCATGGTTCAGAAATGTCCGCCCTCAGAAAGGCAGGCCGGCCAGAAGGGAGTGTAAGACAAAAAGCCAATGCAGTCCTGGTCTTCCATCAGCAGAGGGACAGCTTCAAGATTGCAATGATGTGATAGTGCTGCTCAGTGGTGGGATGCAAGTTTTTTTTACTACTGGTTCTGTGGGCGTGGCAGGGGAAGGATATACTGCAAAATCCCCCTTCCCTCCCCACCCCACTAACCTGCTTTCCAGCCCCGTTCTCCTCTGCAGGGCAACCAAAGAAGACCCAGCCGATCAGCTGGGACTCAATGGGAGGCAGAGAAGAGATGGGGTTGGTGGGGCCAGTCAGAGGTGGGATTGGCCGGTTCTCCCAACTACTCAAAATGGTCCACTTCTGGTTCTCCGGAACTGGTCAGAACCGGCTGAATGCCACCTCTGCTGCTGCTATATACTGGACAGTAAGGCCGCACTTGGAAGATGGCGTCCAGTTCTGCTCACAATACAAACAAGATGCCGAGACTCTAGATAAAGAAACTCTAGATAAAGAGAAGAACAATGATGACGAGTGATCTGGAAACTAAATTGTACAATGAATGTTGTGGGGAAAAGGTATCTCTAAAGATGATTTTTTTGGGTGTGTGTGTGTGTGTGTGTGTGTGTCATGATAGCAGTCTTCCAGTAAAGATGCCACAGAGAAGATTGGGTCAAGCTTTTCTCCAAAACACCTGAGGGCAGAACAAGGAGTAATGGGTGGCAAAGTCATTAAAGAAAGATCCAACCTAGAATTAAGAAGGAATTCCCTGACAGTGAGAATTATCAAGAAATAATCAAGGTTGACCCATCCTTCCGAGGTCAGTAATATGAGAACCCAGATTGTTGAGGGCAAGAGGCTGACTCTGTAATAAACCACCTAGAGAGGGCTGTGAAGCGGTATATAAGTCTAAGAGCTATTGCTATTGATCAGTGGAACCACTTGCTTTCAGAAATCGTGGGTGCTCCTTCACTAGAGGTTTTCCAGGTTAGACTAGTGGTTGCCAAACGGTGGTCCGCAAGAAAATTTTGGTGGGCTGCAGAGAAATGTCACCCGCAGAGCACCTTGCCAAAGCAATCCAGGCTGCGCAGAAACACAAGCCTGTGCCGCCCACATGGCCCGCGGGAACCCTCCCTGCCAACTCACTCCTTACCTGGTAAACTTGCCTGCTAAGTTGCTATTTTTCCTTTTTCCAACCATCAGCTGTTCTGCTGTGCCTGGAAATTTTAGATTAGCTAGAAAGCAGGAAATCGTTGGATTTCTTGTTTTCTAGCTAATCTTTAGATCTTCGGCTCTGTTAAGTGGAGCTGAACCTTCCTTAGGACTGAAGCAGTGCAGATTCAGATAGCGGATGGCAGAAACACAGATCTCTAAGTGACTCTGTGAGCAACTCAATCTGCCTGCCTGCTTTGGGGTAAAAGTTGCTTTTTTTTAATAAATTCAATATTTATATAAATATTTATAATATTTACATGCAAGCCATGCCTAGCCAGTCACATGACCACCAAGCCACACCCACAAATAAGGCCATGCCCACAGAACCGGTTAGTGGTCCCAGAGATTTAAAATTATGAGTTTGGTGGTTCCCGAGGTCCAAAAGGTTGGTGACTCCTGGGTTAAGACAACCATTTGTCCAGAATAGCATAGGTCTCCTGCTCGAACAAGGGGTTGGACTAGAAGACCTCCAAGATCCTTTCCAATTGTTATTCTACCATCTATGTTCTATACTGGAAGGTGGCATGACGGTTGGTCTATCACATAGCAAAGCTTCTATGCGCTTTTAGAAATGCTGAAGATGGAATGTAGAAGGCAGGGCAACACACTAAATGGTGACATATATACAACACCCCAACTAAAAAAAAAATAGCTTGATAGACATCCAAAGAATGAAACACTTCTAATGGCAGTTGGGGGCCAGGGAAAAGGACTGTCTTGATTTCAGTGGAGAACCAGGATAGATTTTGGAAGGAAGATGTGAGGGAAGGATGCCTTTGTAAATGTGTGAAAGAGGATGGACAAGCACTTTATAAGATCCACAGATCTCCAGTTTAATTCTGTTCAGGATGCACCCGTATCTTCAGGGGTGTACAGGAAAGATTCAGGTAGCCTCCCGTCTTGCACTAAGGCAGGATTAATCACCGTTTGCTGAAAAAGTAGCCACATTGAACCAGAAGAAATTATAAACCATGACTTACAGTTCACTAATGCAAGAAGCCAAAAACCAACCTACCACAACAGCATCATGGTTTAGGTTGTGTAAATCCAGTTTATTTGGTAAGGTAGTTATGTTTCCCCTCAAACTTTCTATAAAGGGTGTCCCTGAAAAAGCTAACTGGTTAAGCTTTTAGGACCAATTTTTAATTGGGAATTAATACACATTTGGAGAAAGTGCACCTTTATGGAAAAATGTTGATTGCTCTTGCCCGAAGTGAAGTAGAACAGAAATTAAATATTATTATTTGGGTTGCTGTAGGAAAAATTGTATCATATCAATCTCACAAACTCCTTGGAATTAAGACCTATTCCAATTTAGGTCTTTGCTGCACTTAGCTGTACTTATGTACTTTTGTGCTGCAATTGCAACTCTACATATATATTTTCTTCTATTGATATCAACATCTCGTTTTATAAAATTCAAGCCAAGAGAAATCACTTTACCTTATTCTTCAATGAAGTCAATTTCAAAAACTTTGCTCTTTGATAAAACAAAAATTCCGTCTTAAGTAACATCTCCCCAAACTATACTTGTAAGGAGAAGTCGTCTTTGACTCACTGAAGTCAAATTTTATAGAAAATTTTTATTCAACATACAACATTTTTTTCCAGCCAAAAAGGCAATATACAGGAAGAATCATTGCACACTGTAGCTACAGAAACAAAACAAAACAAAACAAAAAACAAGGGAAGGGGGGAAAAGAAAAGGGAGAGGAGATAAGAACGGAGGAAGGGGTGAAGATAAAGAATACGAAATTAAAGGAGAAAAAAAAAAAGTGAAGGGAGTGTAAATGGCAGATTCTAGTTTTACTCACTCAAAAAGTAAGAAAAAAGTAGATATTCCACAAAGGTTTCCATTAACTCCAAACTAAAACAGGAAAGGAGGCTGGGACAGAAATAAAACTACACACAATGAATATTGACATCTGAGGAATTCGCTGGCAGACTCCCTCTGCGCGCCCCCCCCCACCAAAAAAAGAGAAATCTCCAAGTGTTAAATTGTACATGTTGTTCCTTTGTTAAATATACAATTCCAGGTTTTTTTATTTTATTTTTGCCCCCTCCCAAGCTCCCTGCCCCTTTTTACAAAGTCAACAGCTTCCTAAATGCTAGCGAACGTGCCCTCAGTGCGAAGAAAAAGCGAGTTTGCTCGTCTGTCTTCCCAGATCAGCTAAAATTCAGTATAATTCAGGTGATTTTCCTTCCCCCAACCCCCCTTTTCTGCAATCCCACTGAGATGCCAGCTGCCGTACTCGGGACATCATTTCATTAACCCAAACCCTTCTTCCTTCTGAGCGGTTTCTAAAAGGAATATAAAGACGCCGCGGCTCTTTCGAGGAGTTTTTTGAGTCTTTCTTGGCCAAAAGTGATGGCGGGAAGTAGTGGAGGGGAGGGGGCTCTGACTCAAAAAGTCTTTTATTTAAAAACAACAACAATAATAATAGAATAATAAGAATAAAAAGAGAATTCCTAGGCTGATTGAAAAGACGTTTCTCCCCCGAATAAGTGCCAACAGTGTACACAATGAAGTAGAGATTGCTATTTATTGATGATGTGAGTTTTTCTTTGCATTTACAAATGCACAAAAATTTCATTTAAAGTATATAACTGAAGGAAAGAAATCAAACGTGACCCTAACCACAGTGCCAGCTAGCTGCAGTGATGGCAGGTACCACGCATCAGGGGGGGGGGGGGGGGGGGGGGGG